TTCTATTTGAATATATTTTAAAATGTAATTTATTCCTGTAATCTCAAAGCTACATTTTTAGCATCATTACGCCAGTCTATAAGTGTCACATGATCCTTCAGAAATCATTCTAATATTCTGATTTGCTGTTCAAAAAAAACATTTATTATTATGTTGAAAACAGTTGAGTAGATTTTTTTCAGGTTTCTTTGATAGAAAGTTCAGAAGAACAGCATTTATCTGAAATAGAAATCTTTTGTAATATTATAAATGTCTTTATCGTACTTTTAAGATCAATTTAAAGGATCCTTGCTAAATAAAAGTATTAATTTATATAACCCCCCCCAAACAAAAATACTGACTCCAAGCTTTTGAATGGTATAGTCATAGTGTATAATGTTACAAAAGCTTATTTCAGATAAATGCTGATCTTTCTATTCATCAAAGAATCCTGAAAAATGTACTCAAGTGTTTGAAATATTGATCAAAATAATAATAAAAAAATGTTTCTTGAACAGCAATCACCATATCAGAATTATTTCTGAAGGATCATGTGACTGGAGTAATGATGCTGAAAATTCAGCTTTGATCACAGGAATAAATTACGTTTTGAAATATATTCAAATAGAAAGCAGTTATTTTAAATTGTAAAAATATTTCGCAATATTACTACTTTTGCTGTATTTTTTTTGGATCAAATAAATGCAGGAGGCATTGCTGAGCAGAAGAGAATTATTTAACAAACATTAAAAATCTTACTGTTCAAAAACTTTTGACTAATAGTGTATATTAAAATGTTTAATAATTCATTCAAATTAATTAAACGCTTTTAAATAGACTGCAGCAATAATATTTTGTCACACACTATTTTGTTTAGTTCAGAATCGTGGGAGAATCATGATCTCTATTTGAGACCAAAAAATCGTGATTTTCAATTTATCCAGAATCGTGCAGCTCTATCTCATAGTAACTCGTCAAGTCACATGCTGATGATACCACAGCGCTGCAGTTTTAACCCTGCCTGATTGGGGAAGTTTATTTGGATGAGAACCAAAAGGAAGGAAATGCAACAATGTGACCTAGATGACTTTGTTTCGTGTTGGAAATTTGGTTTTCAAAATGTTTCACTCACAGCTGATTTGTGGTTTGCAGAGTATGGCAAGCCGGACTTTACGGGAGAGTCTGACTGCACGTATTACTTTGACTGGCAAACAGCGTACGCATGTGTGAAGGAGAAGGAAGACTGCAACAATGTGACCTAGATGACTTTGTTTCGTGTTGGAAATTTGGTTTTCAAAATGTTTCACTCACAGCTGATTTGTGGTTTGCAGAGTATGGCAAGCCGGACTTTACGGGAGAGTCTGACTGCACGTATTACTTTGACTGGCAAACATCGTACGCATGTGTGAAGGAGAAGGAAGACCTGCTGTGTCGAGTCACAGACCACAAGAAGAAGCGTTATGATCTGTCGCCTCTTACGCGCTACCCAGGTAGAGATGAGCAGAATGACTTGTGTACTGGGAAGTGGAGGCAAAGATTGATCATGAAAACGTTTTTTCTTATTATTTTCATGATTTATTTTTGGTTATTTAATGAGAAGTAAATAAATACACTATAAAGTTTAGGGTCGATTTTTAAATGTTTTTTAAGAGAAGTCTCTTATGCTCACCAAGGCTGCATTTATTAGATCAAAAAACTGTAATACTGTGAAATTACAATTTAAAAAAGAAAACTTGTCTATTTGAATGTTTTTTTAAACGTAATTTGAAAGCAGTTGTTCTGCTTAATATTTTTGTGGAAACTTTTTTTTTTTTCCACCAGAATTTTTTGAAGAATAGAGAGTTCAAAAAACAGTATTTATTTGTAATATAAATTTTGTTACCATTATACATATCTTATTACAGTCACCTTTGATCAATTTAAATCATCCTAGCTGAATAAACATGGTAATTTAATAAAAAAAATAATAATCTTGCTGACTAATCTATGCCTATTTATTTATTTATTTTTACTTCACCATTCCAAAAAATTGCCTAATTTCTAAAAGAAAAGTTTGCCTAAAAAAAAAGAAAGAAAATTTCTCTGGAACCCTCCAAAAATATTCATTCAGCTTATAGAAAAAAAAAACGCACTATAAAAATACTTACCACTTTGTGTGAGGACCAGACTGAAATTAGTAACATTAAAGGCCAAATCAAAAAATGTAGTAAGTGGAAAATCTCATTTGAATATAAAAAAAAATTGCAGGCTGGATTAAAGGATAAATCATTAGCATTTGATGGGCCATAAAATATTATCTCAGGCTTGTACTTTGAAACCTGTTTTTTTTTTTTTAAATATGAAAGTTTCTGTAAACTTTTCAAACAGTAATTGTACCAGCACCTTATGTTGCTTATTGTAAATGTTTTTCTCTCAGAATCTGAGGGATCTCAAAACTGGGAGGCTGTGGGCGCCAAGGCAGCAGAGTCTGATAAGAAACGTTTTTACATCAATGTTTGTCATAAAATCATCCAAGAGGGGGAGGCCAGATCTTGCCCCGAGGACGCAGCAATATGTGCAGTAGGTCAGTGCACCATTAGAGACTATTTCCTATATATATATATATATATATATATATATAAAACCTTTTTTCAGTTCTGTCTTACTCGGGACGTTTCATTCTCTCCCAAATTTTCTTCTCTTAGGAAATGGGAAAGCTGTGAACTTGGGCAAATTCCTGATTTCTCCGCAAAAGGCGGCAGAGGGGGATGACATCAGACTCATTTACACTAATGGAGACAAATGCGGGGAGAACATGAAAATGAAAACCATCATCACTCTGAAGTGTAAGCCTGGGGATGTTGAGAGCGCTCCAGTCCTGAGGAGCGTGTCCAGTGATGGCTGCATCTATGAGTTTGAGTGGTTCACCGCTTCAGCCTGCGTCCTGTCTAAAACAGAAGGCGACGAATGCAAAGTGGACAACCCACAAGCAGGTACAGGACATTGGAATTTTAGTTTTGTTCATGTACTATTATGTATTTGTTGATGTAGTAAATTTGTATATTTTCAGTTTTCATGGTATGTTAATATATAGAATTTTTATATTTTATTTCAGTTTTAGTAATTTTAGGACTTTGACAAACTTATTTAAGATAATTCTCATTTTCGTGAAGTTTGTTTTAATTTCAGCTTTATTTCAGTTACTGAAAATGATTTTTCATACTTTTAATTTTAGTAAACTACACTGGTACAACAAAGTTACTGTATCTGTTGTGTGTCATAATTCTGTATAATCTGTATCTTCTCTCATACCAGATTATTCCTTCATGTGAATATTTGTCTATGCAAAAACACTTATATATTGTGGCCATTTTCTTTTAGTTTGTTTTAGTTTTTAATTTAACTGAACTACACTAAATTAAAATTTCATTTTTATTTTATTTTATTTTACAAAAATGGTTTTTGATCGGTAGGCTTTTATTTATATATATATATATATATATATATATATATATAAATGTAAAACTTTGTTTCATTTTTGTGAGGATGTGTAGCCTAGTGGTTAAAGATTTAGGCTGGTTATGATGTTTGTATGCCTTTTATTGGGCTGTTTTTAAATGTGCTTCTTTTTCTTTGCAGGAATTTCGTTTGACTTGTCCCCGCTTCAGAAACCTAGTGGAGGTTATTATAACATGTCCGTTGACAAGTATGACTACTTCATCAATGTGTGTGGCAATGTGAAGGCCGCACAGTGTCCAGAAACAGCAGGGGCCTGTCAAGTTGACCAGAGGTAAGTTCGCGTTTGTGTGATGCGACAAGTTTATATTGTCTTCTCTGTAAGTGTGATATAAAGCAATGGAATCGTAACATATTTGATGTTTAACATGCAGCTGTGACGTGCATGATTTTTGACCCAAGTAAGTTTTCACTGTTGGCGGAGCTAACGATTTTTGTTCTGTCTCTGCAGTGGCACAAGCTCTTGGAATCTCGGCAAGTTTAACTCCAGGCTTTCCTACTATGATGGCATGATACAGTTGACCTACAGAAACGGCTCTCAGTACAACAACAAGCAGCACACGCAGCGTTCCACACACATCTCCTTCCTCTGTGACAGAGAGGCTGGTCCAGGAAAACCCGAGTTTCAGGTATCGCACCTGCTTCTTTGTTCTGTTTGTGCTGTTAACACACAAAAATATTTTTAGCATGTACTCAAGTAATGCTACCCTTAGCATTAAGGGCTTGTGTGTTAAGCATTAAGCTTTGCATTGGACACACCTTCTTATTCCTATAAGGCTTTTGTTTTGTCTGCAAACCAAAAATGTCCTTCATTTATGACCATTTTTCTCTAGAAAGAAGATGAGTACACATATAACTTCAAATGGTACACTTCCTTCGCCTGTCCTGAGAGACCACATGAGTGTGTTGTAACAGACCCCAAAACACTGCAGCAGTACGACCTGTCCAGGTTAGCTTGCCTTTCTCAAGACTCATGTGTCCTAGAAATATTTGTCCTATTAAATATTTAATATATAGTGTGTTTGGTTTCTAAATACTTCCTCTATCTGCCATTGATTGAACAAACAAGTAGTCCCATCCCAAACTCATGTCATTGGTTGAGCCAATGTTGCTGTTCGGGATGGTTAAACAAATAGTGCCGTTTTTTGATTGTGCCATTCTTTGTGGTTGAAGCAACCTTTGAATGGCTTGTATTTGTCTCTGTATATTAAATATAGGAGATATAAGAAATAAGGAGAAATATAGGAGAAATAAGAGTCAATATTTTAAGATAAAGATATATATTTTTATATAGAAATGTCCTAATTGATGTAAATTGCAATATTTCAATATTTAGCAAAAAGAATGCTTTTATTGTAGCGTTAGGTTAGGTTAGCATGTGTTTACTTTGATCAATCAGGGTGCTTTTTTGTAAATTTGGTTTATTTTGTACTGAGAGTTTATTATTTTCAAATGTATTATTAAGTTTAGGTTACTTCTTTTTTTCCATAAAAAAAGTTCAACATGGCTTACTTTAAATAACTGATTTTTAATTTAATTTAATTTAATTTATTTATTTATTTTTAACCCAATCTCACTTTTTGGATGTAGCCTTCTCTGTCATAGTGGAGACATTTGATACTAGATATGGACATTTGGATACTAGATATGATTATTAGATGTAAATGCACTGTTAATCCTGATAATTTCTCAGGTAGTGTTATCACTCCATTATACGTGTTTGACGACATCCGAACAAGTGCTAGTATCAAAAAGCTAGACAGTGTTAACAGCAATGACTCTCCAGTAAATCTCTTGTTTCCTTCCTCTCTGCAGTTTGGCAGTATCTAATGGCGGTAGGAACTGGCAGGCCATGCAAACCTCTGACCCCAGCGGCCCGAGGAAATACTACATCAATATATGCCAGCCACTTAAAGCCGTGCCTGGCTGTGACAGGAGAGCTTCTGTCTGTGAGGTGAAATTTGAGGCTGACAAGGTTAGTTTGCTGTGAACACTGGAGTGACATGATGAAATACAAAAAACTGCACCACTGACAGCAAATGTATGTGTACATGTTACTCGAGCAGGAAGGCCTGTCTGAGAAGGTAGAGATCAGCAACTTAGGTATTGCTAAGAAGGGGCCGGTGATCGAAGAAGAGAACCAGCTAATGTTGGTGTACACTAATGGCTCAGTGTGTGAAGCAGATGGAGTTATGACCACTTACACAACTCGTATCCACTTCGTCTGCTCATCTGGGACAGCAGTGAGTCATTTCTGACCTTTCACTTTTATTTTAATCGTTGCTATAAGGCTTATTTGTAAAATAATTTATTTTATTAAAAATATTTTAATAAGTCAGTGACATGAACAATATGAGAACAGTATTTTTTTGGTCTTTTTTCTTTAGCCATCTGGTCCTCGCTTTTTGATGAACCAGAACTGCACCGTTGACTTTGTTTGGGACACAGAAGCAGCCTGCGCCATCTCAACCGTTGAGGACACCAATCAGGTCAACCTTAATGTTTGCACAAAATCAATGACTTTGACAGAATCGAGAAGATTTTCTTATTTCTCTTGTTATTTATCTACAGACCTGCTCAGTGAAAGATCCCAACACTGGCTTTGAGTTCAACCTGAAACCACTGGCTTCAGAAAACGGATACCACGTCAATGCTCATGGGAAAGACTTTGTCGTAAGAAGCACTTTAAAATCTTTCAAATGCTCTTTGAGTAGGGGATGGATCGATACAGAAGTTGATTTCAGTATGATGCCAGCTTCCGGTACATCAGTATCCATACTTAAACAGAGACCCAATAATAAATGGCCGTGGATGACTGATGAAATGTAGATTCAGTAGATTCAGTAACTCATTGTCAGTAATTCTTTCCTCCTTTCTTTCTTTATTTATTCAGTCACTGCTTTTCAAACATTTGGGGTCAGTACTTTTGAAAGAAATTAATACTTTTTTATCCACCAAGGATGCATTCAATTGATGGATTACAATGAAAGTAAAAACAGTTTTAATGTTACTAAAAATTTTATTTCAAATAATCAATGTTCTTCTGAACTTTCTATTCATCAAAAAATCATGAAAAATTAGTTTCCACAAATTAAGCAGCACAACTGTTTTCAACATGGATAATAATAAGAAATGTCTCTTGAGCAGCAAATGAGCATATTAGAATGACAGTGTCATGTGACACTGAAGACTAGAGTTAGTGATGCTGAAAATGTAGCTTTGTCATCACAGGAATAAATTACATTTTAAAACAAAAAAAGTTGTAATAGTATTTCACATGTAACTGTTTTTACAGTATTTTTGTTTAAATAAATAAATGCAGCATTGGTGAGCACAAGAGATTTTGTTTTATAAGAAACAATTTTTTTTTACCCCAAAGTTTTGAATTGAGTAGTTTGTGCATACACATTTAGTTACTTTTAGCATTCATTTGTTCTTGTAACAAATGTAGTGAAATATATGTGCTGAATAGCAGCACTTTGTTGTCTGTGTCATGTACTGAAATGTATAACGACATAATTTTTTGGGTTTTTCTGTGCTTTGCCCTCTTGAGTATATAATTTTAGTGCAGTTATACCCATTATAAAACAAAAGTTACATATCCCTCCCGTCTACTGTAGGTGAACATTTGTGGTTCTGTGAAAGAGTGCGGAACTGTCAGAAATAAATCTGTATCTGGCTGTGAGCTGGAAGATAAGAAGCCTGTGAGTCAAGTTGGCGTGGAACAGAATCTCCAGTTCTCCACTGTCGGCACTCTCACTCTCACATACAAAGGGGTCCTGGACAAAAAGACAGGTGCGTAACTGACTGTGCAAAAATCACCTGATGACCTACACTTTTATGGAATCCACTGAATGTCAGCTTTAGTTAGAGATATTATGCTTCCCGTTAAAACATACCAGATTAAATAACTCACAGGTGAGAGGTTTTCTTTTAATTCCTTTTAGGGATGTTCATTTTAACCGTTAACCGACCGTGAAGAATTTTGACCGATTAATACAATCAGTTAAACGGTTTAAAAAGTCATTTATTTATTTATTTATTATTTTTTTGTAATTTATCAAAATATTTTCACTCTCACATACAAAGGGGTCCTGGACAAAAAGACAGGTGCGTAACTGACTGTGCAAAAATCACCTGATGACCTACACTTTTATGGAATCCACTGAATGTCAGCTTTAGTTAGAGATATTATGCTTCCCGTTAAAACATACCAGATTAAATAACTCACAGGTGAGAGGTTTTCTTTTAATTCCTTTTAGGGATGTTCATTTTAACCGTTAACCGACCGTGAAGAATTTTGACCGATTAATACAATCAGTTAAACGGTTTAAAAAGTCATTTATTTATTTATTTATTATTTTTTTGTAATTTATCAAAATATTTAAAAAGGTTTGCTGCATGGTTGAAATACGCTACGCATATAAAAAAAATTCGGTTTTTAGAGGGGGAAAAAAAAAACGTCGCATTTTATTATTTCATTCAGAAATAGGCCTAATGCCGACACGAAATGTTTACAAACATTATAATAAACGCTGTAAACATAGCTAGGCTATTTTAGTTCCCCTCACTCCACAACAAAGCCTTTCAATTAACAGTATTTAGAAAATAACAAGAATTAAAAATATAAGAATCTATAGCTAAACGACAAGCCAAAACAAATTCATTTAGGCTAAAACTAACCAA